CTGGCAGGGAGCGGCTGTTAGCCGGGGGCACAGACAAGCTGGGCCCAGGCATGGGGCTGGGAGCCGAGGGGGTCTGAGCACAGCGGGTGGGCGCAGGGTGCAGGACGAGTGGCAAAGCACGAGCTGGGTGGGGACGAGTGGCTCTGCACAGCCCCGAGGGAGGTCAAGTCCTAGCCCAGAGCCAGGCTATGCCCTGTGCTCTCACCCATGGGTGCAAACCAGAGCAGCAAGACACCCCTTCCCACCCAGGTGTGGACCCTGAGCAGCTGGTGCTTAGTGGTAGCCCCCTGGGCTCGCTGGGGTAGCCCTGCGTATTGCCTCCCACACCCCGAGCTGCCATCGCCTGTGGCTCGTTTGGCCCCTAGCCCTTGCCCGGAGGAGCAGTCGGCGTCCTGGGGAACCGCAGCGTGGTGGAGGTGGAGCCAGTGGCTGGGATCGGTGAGGCCTTCAGGCCCTGGGTGGGCAGAGGGGCTCAGACCTGCGGGGCAAGACCCCGAGACCCCCCCGGCTCATGGGTGCGGGGCTGGGCTCTCCTGGCCTGACCCTGTCCATGGTGCTGATGCCTGCAGAGCCGCCTGCTGGGTGCCCGGGCCCAGCCCCCCTTCCCCCTTGCTTTTCCCCCAGACCATCCACAGTGCACCTCCCTGGGAAGTCCAGAAGTGCAACCCAGGCTCGCCAGATGTGGCTGGACAGAGCTGCTGCTCCTCAAGCTGCGAGAGCCCTCCTGTGTCTGATGCCTGGGCACGGTGCAATGGGCACAGCTGGCATTTGCAGAGGGAAGGGTGCCCGGCTGCCCGGCTGCGCTGTGGGAGAGCTGGGCTGGTGCATGCCCGGGTCTCGGGTGCTTTGTTCAGCCTCTGCATGCCAGAGGAGAAGGCCCTAAGCCCTTTTCTCGGATGTCTCCGTTAATAGCCGCAGTGCAGGGGCAAAATGCAGGGGCAAAGTGCAGGTAGCAGTAGTGAGTCCACTTCTGGCCAGGGCTCTGCCGGGGCAGCGGGGCCTGCTCGAGGACCGCTCGCACTCCTGTGGCCTCTGGCTGTCCCGGCACCAGCGGGGCCCTGCAGACACGTCTCCCTGCTTCTTTCGGGCTGACCTGCAGGGCAGGCCTCAGCTCCCTGCTTCACCAGAGGACTGCTGAGCCTGGCAAAGCCAAACAGTCAGCATGGGGCTGGCAGGGTTGGAAAGGGGCTCGTTTTGGGAATGCCGTGTGTGTGTGTGTGTGCGAGATACTGCACGCGTCGCATTGCCCACAAATATACCGGTGTCTGTGCTGGGTGCTCGGTGCTTGCAGCTGGGAACCCCGTTGCAATGGCTTTGCATGGTCTTCTGCCGCCTCCCCTGCCCCCTGCCAGGGAGAAGAGCTGGAGAAAGAGAAAGGGGAGAGCATTTGGCTTCCTCCTGGGTGCTCCTAGGGCTGAGCTTTGAAGCAAGGCAGCTGGAAGGTGCGTGGGGAGAGCTCACGAGCCGGCGCCGTTGAGCAGCTCTTCAGAGTATCACCTGTGGCTCCTGGCGGGAAGCGTTAGCAGAGGCGTGTGCATGTTACTGCGTGCATTGCTGTGCCCTGGTGTACCAGCGTTAGCAGGGGCGTGTGCATGTGCATGTCACCATGTGCATTGCCAGGTGTGCAGTACAGTCCACCAGCTGGACCAGTGCCTTCATGTTGGGAGTTTGCCGTACATCCAGAGGGAGGGGGGCTGACTTAAGGCTGCCGCAAGCTCCAGGCGCGGTGGGTGCCTCGTGCAGGACATGCTGCCTAGTGGTGGTCCACTCAGGGGTTTTGGTGTTGCATGCTAGCAGCGATGAGCTGGCTGAGTCCTTGTCCCTGGCTATGGCTCGGCATTGGAGAGATCAAGCTGCTTAGGGTCTGTGGCCCCTCGCTGCTCCGCAGAGACCCAGGCTGGTTTCCATGGGGGAGTGATTTGGTGCTGGAGCTGGCAGGGTCCTTTAAGTGCCTGTCCCAAGGTCACCCCCAGAGCCAGTGGCAGAGCCAGGCACCGAGCGCAGGTCCCCTGCTTGCTTCTCTCGCCGACCTCACAGCCGCGTGCACCTAGTTTGGGTTAGTGCCCTTCCCCCACCCCCAAATCCCTTAGTCCCGGGTTAATAAGGGCCTTTCCCTTTGCAGAACGCGGGGGGAGGGGCTGGGGTCAGCTCCCACATGGATGGGCTCGTTTCAGGCTCTGCCGTCCTTACAGCACAGAATGGAAATCACTGATAATTATTGGCCCCCTGGGTCAGAGAAGGGAAAGCATTGGGCCCAGTTTGGCTTTCAGGGCCCCTGGGGCACTCTCCTCCTCCTGGCAAAGGGTTTGGGGGGGATGCAGAGGCTGGTGAGCCCTCTCTGCTCTTGTCCCAGTGACGGGGCGGGAGCCAGCTCTGAGCCTGGCTTGACGGAGGGGTGCTGGGCTCCTAGCCTGCGAGGGGAGAGGGTGAAAAGGCCACGGTCCAGCTGGTGAGCGGTGGGAGCTGCCCAGGGCACCGTGGGTCCTGCTTCCAGCATTGCAGAGGTGAGACCCTGGCATTGGGGGTCCGTCTCCACCACCGCCGCCCGCGGTGCATCGAAGGGGCAGCACCATGCTCCCTGCCCAAGCAGCTTGCTGCTAAATTGGACCGAAGCTGGCCTTGCTCTGAGACTCTCCACGTGCTGAGCCCTGGAGGGGCCCAGCCCCATTCACCTGTGGCAGGATGCTTCCCATCCATGCCCTGGCATCCTCCAAGCCACCGTCATTCCCCCTTGCCTCCTGCGCCTCTTTGGCAGGGGACTGGAGGTGTCCCCAGGGGTTGGCTGTCTCCGGCCCTCTCAGCCCTGCCTGTCTGGCCTGGCATTCGGTGCAGGGAAGCGTCTCCCTCCCCCTCAGCAGCCCCCGCTTGCATCCTGCTTCCTCCGGCGATGATTGCACCGTTTGTTCCCGGCGGCGCTGGAGCAGCATAGCAATGGCCCAGCTGCAGCTGGGGAGGACCTGGGGGAGGTGGCCCGGCTGCTGGCACCGCGGGCGCACAAAGCCAACGCACAGCTGGGCCGCACGGGCCCCCCTCCCCTGCTGCCCCGAGCCCGCGGCATGAAGGGCCCTACTGTGTGCTGCCTCAGCCCCGCTGTGCCGTCTCCCAGCTGCCCTCGGCCTGGCCCGAATCCTCCCGGGCTGTTCCTGGGGGTTGGGGCTGGACGCACAGCTCCGTGCCCAGGAGCAGAGCACGGGCAGCCCTGGGAGTTGGGGGTTTGGGGTCCATGGCAGGGGTGAGGGGGTGAGCCCATGCATGCCCCCCCAGCTGGGCCTGCCTCTCCATCCCTACCTGCAACAGAGCTGGCAGGATGCAGGCCTATCTGCTGCCCCAGGGAAGCAGCACATCAACCCTCGGGCTCGGGGTGCCGCGTGGCCCGTGTCTCTGGCTATGGCAGTCAGTGGCAGGGGGAGATCTGGGATGGGAGCACAACCCCCCCTGGGGAAGGGGGAAACGAGGGCAGCATCTGGTGGAAGCAGGTGCTGGGAGGAGGTAGCCGGACCATCATCTTCCTCCCTGGTGCAGCCACGAGGCTCTGTTGTCATGACAACACTGCAGCACAGAGGGGCAGGACCAGAGCGCTGCGTGTGCGGCGACACGCGTGTGCACACGCACGGGGCTGGCTGCAGGTCTCGGGGCCTGCCATGGAGCTCCTTGCATCTCCTGCCTCTGGATCTGCCCCCACCCCACCAAACCCGGGGGCAGTGGCAAGCAGGAGGGAGCGTTTCTGCTCGGGGGTTGCAGGCTGGGCGAGCCGGGAGGGGGCAGCGGGG